AAAAAAAATCACAAAAGTGAAGGCCATTCAGCCCGAATACAAGTTTATAGCATTCTACCAAGGAAAAATATAGCCTTCTATCAGTCAACTTCGACCAATGTAACATTTCACAACGATCTTCATATGACATCTCACCCCTTTGCTGACCTAAAGCCAATCGATAGGCTCTTCCCTAAACGTTCTCCAAGAGAACAATATTTTAAACTAGGTAAGGGCACCATACTGGGGAAGCGTACTCCAGGATTGGTCTCACAAGAGTCTTGTACAATATGGAAAAGATTTCCTTTTTTGAGAACCGATTGTTCGCTTGATTAGACCAAAAAATTTATTGGCCTTACTGACAACCTCAACAACGTGTGGAGTCCACGAGAGGTTATGCGAGATTGTAATGCCAAGGTCTTTTACAGAACTCACTGAGCTTAGACATTCTCCGTGCGGGACGAGAGAGTAAAGTGGGACAGATTTATCACGGTTATGTGTTACTCGCATAACCCCACATTTGTTCACATTGAAGTTTTACTGCCAGACCTCAGACCACTTTTTCAGGTGAAATAAGTCGGACTGAAGAATATTTGTGTCTCAGCTATGTCGGAGATCTCTCTGTAAACCTTGGTGTCATCCGCATAACAGTATATGAAATTCCTGATGAGATGTCATTTACATGTAAAATGAATAAGACGGGACCAAGGATTGTTGCCTGGGGTACTCTTGATAAAACTGGAGACCAGGATGAGTAAGTGCCGAGCAGTACGACGCGTTGCATCCGTCCAGTTAAAAAATTTCGAAACCACTCGGAAGAGCGCTGCCGTCGATACTGTGACGCTCAAGCTTGAAAAGGAGACGCTCATGCGGTACTCTGCCAAACGCCTTGGAAAAATCCAAAAAGGCAATGTCAGTGGGCTTCTGGTTATTGCGTGATCTCGCCCAGTCGTCATAACAAGAGAGCAGTTCTGAAAGCGTTGATCGGCCCTCCATGGAAGCGAACTGGATCGGGTTGATGATATTTATGTTTCGCCAAAAATCCATCACGCGACACTTGACAGTTTATTCCGCGGTCTTGCACACTATTGATGTTAATGAGATCTGACGATAATTATTCCTGTCCGTCTTACTGCCTTTTTTTGAACAAAGGTGTGATGTTAGCAAGTTTCCAATGATGGGGCAGTTAACCTGTTGAAAATTCGTTAGCCATTCGCTCCGACGAAGGGCTAACGCTCGAAACGTCAGCTTCTGTAATCATTACGGTGGCCAATTTACCATTTCAACTTTGTTGATATATCCAAATTATTTCGTTACTCCCACCGACGCAGCCCCAAACAGTTTCTCTCGAAACTATCAGCCTTTATTCTGTTGAAAATGATCTGTTAAAGAAAAGGCCCAGAGGTGATGATAGAACACTCGCATATTCTTTCAGAATGCGTGGTGGTAGGCTATCAGGTCCAGGCGATTTGTAGATATTCAAATTTTCGAACAGTTTTTCTACATCCACTGTGTTCCAAAGAATGTTTGAAAGTTTACTATTGGTGACATATTCAAATTTGGGGAAGTTATCGCAGTCTTCTGATGTAAACACAGAGGCGAAAAGGTCATTTATACTTTCAGTAATGCCAAGATCATTTGAGAGAGTGACGCCGTCGATATTAAGCGAGACGAGATCGTTAGACCCTTAATTTACGCATAGATTTCACAAAGCTCCAAAGCGGCTTGGGATTGTCGTTAGTAGCAAGCTCATCAACCAGGTCATTAATATAGTTCCGCTTCGCTGCATTACACTCTTTCTTAACAGAGTTGTTTAAAGTGCGATATCTCATCCACAAGAAATCTGTGTTTACTCGCTTTGCCTACCTGAAAAGATGTTTTTTCTTCCGACAGAGCTTAATGAGTTCCGCTGAAATCCAGGGAGGATTAAATTTGTTGTTGTGTCTTCGCTTCGGAATACACTGATCCACTGCCGCAAAGAATAAATCCAGCCACGCTTGCCAGTTATCATCTAAGTTGTCGTCAAAATATGCACAATGCCACGTTGTACGTGAAAACAGACATTTTATATGTTCCCAATCAGCCTATTTATATGCATAAACAAGTTTCTTTGATTTACGAGGAGGAGGGAAGGATCCAGATAGGAAAAAGGTTAAACAGTAATGGTCAGAAAAGGGTTCCCCAACAGCTAGCTCGCGTACCAACTCGGGCCATGTCGTAAGCGCAAGGTCCAAAATATTACGTTCTCTAGTTTGCTCATTAACCAGTTGTGTAAAGAAGTTATCTTGGATAATGTAAATCAGGAGAGAATTATTAGCCGAGTCGCATGTGGCTCTAACATGGATCCAGTCTATTCCACGTAAATTAAAATCCCCTATGATAACCAAATCCTGACATGTGGATTTCTGAGGAATATCCTGCATATCCAAAAGAGGTTTGGTGTCCGCATTTGGTGGTCTGTAGAAGGCCCCTACAGTAATCTTACGTTCATTCGCAAGAGATGTATTTACAAAAATTAGTTCAGAGTCTGACAACTTGATAAACCTGTTGATCGAGTTGATCAAGATCAGTAGATTGAGATTTTTCTGTTTTAGATCACATAACATTACAAAGCTCCAAGAAGCTAATAAAAGCCAAGCATGTGTGGCAGTTCGTTTTAAGGCAAATCAAGGAATCTGGAAGAAATATAGACACTGTCATAAGATTTTATCTTTTAGCTTGAAAGTTTTTATCTTCAGGAAAAAAACAGGCTGATTTCCTAGTTACTAATCAAAACAATTCAGTCATCTGGTTCTCACCTATCGCACATCGATCGAAAACGCTTAGACTGTAGCTATGAAGACTTTGTATCTCTATACACTCCAATTGTCTCCCTATCTATTTCAACTTCTACTGTTGCAAGAACCATACTGTAGTTCGCACCAAATAACACACTCTTCAGATAAGATCACTGCTAAAACTAAAAGTTTTCCTTCCCTTTGCCTAGTCCACCTGAACTGGTTCTAGCTCAAACGGAAGGTAAAGTCCTCTCACGCGAGTAAGCTTGTTTTCGAATTTCAAAGGAAACGTTTTTCAAACTTCTTGAGGGTATCAGTTGTTGTTTAGGAATTTCAACCGATTCAATTAAACTAAGAGATATATATATATATATACAGTATGCTTATCCTAATTATTTTTAATTTGGCTTTTCCCTCTTTTCTTTAGGCTTAATATATGACAACACTATGGCAATCAGGTGCCGGTATATCTATTCGCCTTTGGCTCGTTAATTACAAACTCTTTCCTAGAAGAATCTTTTCCCAGAGAGGGAAAGGGGTGGGAGGGGTGGGATGCCAGTCCATCGCATGGTTATTCCCGCATTTCATCAGGCTCCCCGACAATCCGCTGGTACCCAGGCCATTTATACTCCTCGGCCTTAGTGGAGAGAGGCAAAGCAGGAGTAAAGAGTTTTGCCCAAGAAGACAAGACAGTGAAAGACTCAGTAAATTATCAGGCCCCAAGCCATATTTTAAAATCAAAATTTTAAGAATAGAGAAAAAGGTTTTTCGGCTTTAACCCGGTCCATTTTGTTTCTTTAGCTCAGTGACAGTTTTATAAACCACCATCTTGAGACAAAAAAAAATAGTTCAGCTTTACGGGCCCGTTAATTAAGTTACCTGCTGTTATGTTTTCATTCAAGACGGGAATTTCAAAAGTTTTGAAAATGATACAATAAAACTATCAGCTACAGAAACAAACAGGACTGGTTTGGGTACCAGAACCTGCTTTCCTATCCTTTAAATTTTGATTTCAAAAAATAGCTTCGGGCCCGTTAAGTTACCGGGACTTTCGAGAAACAGGCCCCAGGGGCCCATTTCTTGGAAGTCCCGGTAACTTAACGGGCCCGTAAAGCTNCGTATCGCACATATCGAAAACATTTAGACTGTAGCTGTGAAGACGTCGTATCTATATACACTCCCATTGTCTCCCTATCTGTTTCAACTTCTACTGTTGCAAGGACCATACGGTAGTTCGTTCCAAATAACACTCTTTAGATAAGATCACTGCTAAAAATAAAAGTTTTCCTTCCCTTTGCCTGGTCCACCTGAACTGGTTGTGGCTAATGCAAACGGAAGGTAAAGTCCTCTCACTCGAGTAAGCTTGTTTTCGAATTTCAAAGGAAACGTTTTTCAAACTTCTTGAGGGTATCAGTTGTTGTTTAGGGAGTTCAAGCGATTCAATTAAACTAAAAGAGATAGATATACAGTATGCTTATGCTAATTATTTTTAATTTGGCTTTTCCCTCTTTTCTTTAGGCTTAATATATGACAACACTATGGCAATCAGGTGTCGGTATATCTATTCGCCTTTGGCTCGTGATTCACAAACTCTTTCCTAGAAAATCTTTTCCCAGAGAGGGAAAGGGGGGGTAGTTGGAATGCTATTCCATCCCAAGGTTACCTTCCGCATTTCATCAGCCTTCCCTGACAATCCGCTGGTACCCAGTTTATTTATAATCCTCGGCCTTGGTAGACAGAGGCACACTGGGAGTAAAGTGCTTTGCCAGAGTAGACAATGTAATGAAAGACCCAGTCATTTATCAGGCCCAAAGCCATATTTAAAAATCAAGATGTTACGAATAGAGAAGAAGGTTCTTAGGCTCTAACCCGGTCCATTTTGTTTCTATAGCTCAGTGATAGTTTTATTGTATAAGTTTTTACAATTTTTGAAACCACCACCTTGAGAAAAAAAAGTAGTTCAGCTTTGCGGGCCCGTTAATTAAGTTACCCGGGCTTTGAGAAACGGACCCCAGGTCTCGAGTTCGGATCGCTTGACCTCCAGTCCACACGCACAAAACATGACGAATAATTCAATTTTCAGACATACCTATGACAGGCGATTGCGCCTTTGGTTGCTTCTAGGCCTCTGGAAGAATCAAACATAGAATGTGTGTCCCATTCCACTTTCTTTTTTCAGTAATATTCTTCTTGGGCACAAATTGACATACACGCGCAAGAAATATATCAGAACCAACAATGACTCAAAATGATCAATTTTACTTCAAGGGTTGACTGTAACTATAAAGTTTAAGAGCAAGTAGAACAAACTTATTCACACATTTTCCTTGTCAACAGTATAAGTTTCATTTTTCGTTAACTTTCTCATTTCAAACAAATTAAACAGCGAACCCTTTCTACCTAGAGCTTTTTTTTTTATCATGGGTAATCTTTTTTTGTTATATGTGTGCAAGAAACACAGAATTACTGTGACATTGTCCGCTGACATTCTGATGTTCCTCTGGTGATTCGCGTAAATAAAGTTTTCACGATCAAGAGTTACTAGCTTGTGCACGATCTCTTGAACTCTTTGTTCTTCTTATCGAACTACAAGCATGTGTCCTTTCCTTTTCTTCTAAAAATCTTATACATTCTTCACTCAGGAATGTCTTTCTATATGTTCCGGATGGTAATAAAAGTTCAATTTGATCTCCTCCTATCCGCGAACAAAAGATACCTTAAAGTTTCCTTCTCTTCTAGCGATCATATTTTTTTATGAATTGACTTTCAAAGCATCAATAGATATTTAACTATCACAATTTACGAATTCATTAAGAGCAACGTGCGTTTCCAATTGTCTCCTTTACTGTTTCTCACTCCTTTTATCTTCCAGCAATAGATAAACGGATTTAACGTCGAGTTAAAGAAAACGAAGATAGCTGTTATTTCTCATACGACAAATTTTCTAAATTAGCTAAATTTCTTCGGATATGCAGGCTTTTATCTTACACACAAATCAACAAAATTCACTGCAGCTACTAACACGAGTTATAATAAGTAAGAAGTCTTAACTAAATAGAAAAAAACATGAAATTCAATTCATCAGCTGAATTATTCCTACTGAGCAGAGAGGGTGTACTTTCTCACTTATGCATCTCTGCCATCCTGTGGGTTGTCATCGGCCTCTGAAATTAAATAACAAAGATATATAAAATCATCAAAATTGGACTGATTAGTTTTAATTCAGTAGTAATGTGGGGTGTTATCGTCAAAAGAATAACTTTTATAAACAAATAACACTTTACCATCTCGTTCTTCCAATACAGCATAACAAAATCTTTGA